AATTGCACTGTATGTGTGTGATATTGCATTGTTTTTAGTGATTAGAATGCTAAATTCAGGAAATGATTACCATTATTGGCACTTTTGTTAATTGAATGAAACCTCTGATGTTTTCCAAGTTTGCATAAACCTGACTTTGTCCCATTATGAGCTCATTCTCAGATTAAATACAGTTCATGACACTTTAATGTGTTAACTCTGCTTCAAGGTATTTCCTACCAGTGTTTAATTTCTTCTTTAATAGACCAGAGACTCTATGTCCACACAAGTCTTTAATAAAAAGTTTTCAAATTCTAAATACACTACCTTGACCTTTACTGAAATCAAAAGTACAGAGAAAATTAGGATATTCATTCCAATAAGTCCTTTTTAAAGTGAAATTTCCCCCAATAAAAGGTCAAATGGCTTTAAACTAAAGGGGGGTAGGTATAGACTAGATCTAAGGAAGAAATTTTTTTATGCTGAGGGTGGTGAAGCACTGGCACAGGCTGCCCAGAGAGGTGGTGGATGCCCCATCCCTGGAAACATTCAAGGTCGGGTTGGACGGGGCTCTGAGCAACCTGATCTAGTTGAAGATGTCCCTGTCCACAGCAGGGGGGTTGGACTAGGTGACCTTTAGAGGTCCCTTCCAACCCAAACTATTCTATGATTCTATAAAATTAATACTTTGTCCATGAAATTTGCTCTTACACATTGTTTCAATTATGTTTGGGAAGGTACAGGAACTGTTTAGATCAGAAATAACATAATTCATACTTAACTACCTTTCTCTGCAGTTAATTTGATAATGCTGAAAAATAATATCATAAAGTTAAAAAAGAATATTATAAACAACTAAATTATTTCCTGCAGTGGAATGACTCCATTTTCTACGGTCCATTCATGATTATTGTCCTACTGGTAAAGAATAGTTTTGTGATTTACTGAAAAAAGATAAAGATGTGATGGATTTATATAAAGAACTACCAAGCATGAAGCTCCTGGTTTTACTTCTGAGAGAAATCTTCAACATTTTACAACTAAGAAAAATGCCCTGGCACTTGTCCCCTGCACTGAAGCGTAACAACAAGAAACCAGTGCCTGCTGAATCCAATGACAGATTCTCTATTGACATCAGTGAAAGGGTAAGAAAAAAGTATCACTGTGAGTTTTGTTTTCAGCTGTCTCCACTCTTCACCCAAGGTAGCACACGAATGTAAGGTCATTTTAAAAAGATGTGGTCATGGAATATGATGGGACAACAGTATCTTTTCTGTAATTATATGAACTCTATATGCTATGAATACTAATAGAAAATAATATGTTCATTTACTGTTTTAGAGTATGACTAAGGTCCTTTAGCAAGGTCTAAGGTCCAAGCTTTTATTTGATTTTAGAACCTTGCCTTATTATAAATACTGTTAAAAATTAGTGCACAACTCACAGACACCCTTCCACAGTAAGCATCATGTTTGCAATCCCTTATACTGACAATTAACAATGTTAACACCGCTGAAACTCCTGGTAGTGCTGTCAAAAACCAAACTTGGGGGAAGATGGATTAGGCATTGTTGATGTGGCCACACGGACATGCAGACCTCTTACTGAGCTGCCTTGTCTAGGAAGCCTCGCAAGCACCAGTGTGGTGCTGGGCCTGGACTGAGGTGCTCTGTGTTATGCTTGGAGCTGCGCTGGGTACCAATTCACGCTGCTGCACTGTGCAGTGGAGATTATCTGAGCTCTTCTATATTCCCCAGTTAAGAAAAGGAAAGTCTATGGCAGCTCAGACTTCCTCAGTGCATGTGCCAACACATCTCAGATTTGACTTAGAGATAAGATGATAGGCCAAAGGAAATAACAGCCTACACGGAATGCTTTTGAAAAAAGAATCTCTGATTAAGTATGGGGTTTTTTTTTCCTCTCCTCCCTTTTCGACCCAAGTCTGTTGGCCCAAGCAAATGACTTGCTTTGTTGGAAATGCCCATGAATTTTCAATTTACCACCCTATCTCATTTGGCGATTCTTAGTCCTGCCTCTGGCTGCCCTCTCACGTAAAAGTCCTAACCGTTTTCACTGCTATTAGATAGGCTACACTTACTAACCTGAAGAAAGAGATGGCTTTTACTTTGCAGTTTGTGGCCAATGCTGTTTTAAAGAGAATGCCTACAGTTATGTTCAATCTGATTTTTTTCCTTTTAAGTTAACATAAAGCTGTGAAAGAATTCTGTATTCATTTCATATTACTCTACCACAATTTGGCTTGTCATCGAATGCAATATCCCTTTTCAAGATGGACATTAGCAATGATGACTAGAAAAATGAAGTGGGTTTCACAGCTTTGTTAGTTAGCATTATCAGTGGCCTGGAAATAAGTTGGGGAACACCTTCCAGGGATATTATCAGTCCCAGTCATAATTGCAGGGGACAAGGCAGACCCCCCAGACCTACCCATTGAAATCAATTATAAAACTTCCTTGGCTGCTTTAGCCACAGAATCTAGACTGAGACTTCAGGCTGGCAGCACCTATGTGCAAGGACAGCATCGTTCCCTCTGCAAATGGAAGCAATCAAACCGCAAGCGGACAGTGTGTGAACTGAAGCTTGCCTGTCTTATCGCAGGCCTGCCCAAAGCAAAGCGGTGCTCCCCAGCAGGCCCCAGCACCGCTCCCCTGGCCAGGTGGGACCAGAGGCAAGTATCTGTGTATGATTTTGCCTGTTGAGGTTGGGGCTCCAGAGGAGCTCTTGCTCCTCTCAACTCCCACAAATTCCACTCTTAAATATTTATACAGACCAGCAGATAATTTCTCCAGTTACCAACCTGCCTCTAAGTTTAATGTGTTTCACAGGCTGTTTGGTAATTAATCCAGGGGTGATACAGACCACAAGGTTAATATCAGCTATTTAAGTTCTGCTATTTATTGCCACTTCCACATGTGGCTGAGCTACATACAGTGAAGTAGTACAATACTCCTGAATGATCATTATTAACACCTTAGCGTGCCAGTACTAAATGCACACATGTGGTTTCTAATTACTTCATTCAAAGAAGTCAATAATGTTGGAGTAGATTATCTCCCGTACTAACAGTACTGCAGAATTACAAATAAACACAATAACAGCCACTTGATTAGATGCTGACTCAGTACCTCAACTGAACAGGATTCCTTTTCTCTAACCCACATTAAATCATAGAATCATAGAATCAATAAGGTTGGAAGAGACCTCTAAGATCATCGAGTCCAACCATCAACCCAACACCACCATGCCCACTAAACCATGTCCCTAAGCGCCTCATCTACACGTCTTTTAAATACCTCCAGGGATAGTGACTCAACCACTTCCCTGGGCAGCCTGTGCCAATGTTTAACCACTCTTTCAGTAAAGACATTTTTCCTCACATCCAATCTAAACCTCCCCTGGCACAACTTGAGGCCATTTCCTCTCGTCCTATTGCCAGTTACTTGGGAGAAGAGACCAACACCCACCTCGCTACAACCTCCTTGCAGGTAGTTGTAGAGAGCAATGAGGTCTCCCCTCAGCCTCCTTTTCTCCAGGCTAAACAACCCCAGCTCCCTCAGCCGCTCCTCATAAGACTTGTTCTCCAGACCCCTCACCAGCCTCGTTGCCCTTCTCTGGACACGCTCCAGCACCTCGACGTCCTTCTTGTAGTGAGGGGCCCAAAACTGAACACTGAACTGTTTTAGCATATAGTTTTAGGCCCAAAACTGAAATATCTTCTCTTGCTCTGCTGTTCAGCGCACAGACAGCTTTCCCTTCGCTCGTTTTTCCAGAATGGAAAAAAATCTGGGAATTAAGAGGGGTCACCTAGCAGTGAGGTTCTTGGCTTAGAATAGATGAGCAATGAGTGTTACTGCCCTAAGCGCAACATAAAGGTATACCGCAAAATCCACTTTCATTCAGACTGGTTTCCACAGTTGGAAATATTCAGCTTCTTGTTTCATCTATTCTCTTTGAGGATATTTGCCTCTACCTTTAAAACATATACAACTTTGTCCTGGTGATAATCCCTCAATAATTTTATCCTGACTTTTTACTTTCATTGTAAGATGACATTTCCCAGTGTACCAGATTTTAAGATGCATTTAAAAAATCTTTATCCAATAGCAAGTAAAAGACAGAAATAAGATTAGTGCTACATTTTTCCATGGAAATTTCCTAAGAAAAATATGTATATGAATATACAAGTAAATCATCATCTCAGCAGAATTTTTTTCCTTTTATACTTAAGGCGATATTTTCTTTTTCCTGTCAGGCCCTGCAAATGTTCCCTGAATCATGTGGTTACAAAAATGTAGAATTACCCTCCTAAAAAGAACATTTTACAATTCATCACCAGGACTAAACCAGCTGCAGCTGTGAAAAAGCGTTAGCATATTAGCTGTTATATTACAGAAAATCTTTTATTTATTTTGTGCCTTTAGCTCTGGAGATTTGGAATGTTCGGGATTTTCTCTTTCTTTCTCTGCTCCAAAGTTACTCACTGAATTTTCACGAGATAGTTTAATTTTGATTATGTTTGACAGAAGAAACTTTAATCCACACAATATGTAAAAAATATTGCATTTTAACAAGGGTTTTTACTTATGTTTTTATTGTCGTTGTATTGAATAGAATTCAGCATATCAGGGATGAGTTGTTATTGGTATTTACGTGCCTTAGGCTTACTAACTGCTCAAATATTATGAAGAAATTAACTCTGATAAAAATGATTTATTACTTTCCAAGAATGTTCATAGACTATTTGCATCTGGCATTAAGATCGCAGTGTAGGAATAAATGTGTGAGATGTAACCTTAAATCAAAGCTGTTCTGTTTGAAGTTTTAAGTTAATTCCTCTATTTTCTGTTTGTCACAGTGATCTCTATTACCTTTAGGTGGCCACCTAGCAAAGTGCTGAAGCATATGCTTAACTTTACACATGCACCTTTCTGAACAGAAAATTTCAAGCAGGAAACAAGCGTCATATACTTTAATGAATATGATCCATAATAGTTACTCACCACTGTCTATTGCCAGAAAGAGAGCAGTGTATATGTTATTCTGAACATGAGGAGATTCCCGATCCAGGATAGCAGTGGTGCCAATGGTACCATTGGTAGGGTTAATTTCTAGCCAGCCTGCTGGATCCTTGTAAACCGAATACCTAAATAAAAATACAGAAGTTGTTAACAAATTATATATCTAGACATAAAACAATTACATTACTACAAAAGAATAGTCTTTGCACTCACTGGCTTTCATGGGGTGGATCTCTTAACACATTAAAAATACAATTTAAACCTTGTGCCTTCCCTTTGAGAGAGTTCATTATTGTTAGGTGTACCTGACAGATATAGAGAGAGGTTTGAGCCAATTTCTTTGGATACCTATGTCCCAAAGCTTAGTACAGAAATCAACATTTAAAACATTATGTAGGACCTGTTTCCTACTGCTGTGTTATACAGCCAGAGCACCTGAACACTTTCAGTGGACCTCTGCAACCACACTGGTATTTACAGACTTCATGAATCCTCTCACAGTCCTCATTTTTCCAGACTCAAAATTCTGGCTGGACTAGGAGTTATATTTTTAATTTATTTTTTGAGTGTTTTTCTTTTTTTTCTTACAATTAGTTATTTTGGGTGAGGCTGGAAATGTAATAAATTGGTATGGTATGGTAGCTAAAAAAGAGTTAGACTGGATTCATTAGGTCTAACGGGAGCTGGTTATATGCAGACCTGGTTTTCATACATTTGTTCTGCAGTCTGTGATCTGTAGGTTCCTGTTTCTGATGATTTCAAATAGATGCTCAGAATCTTGGAACAATTCAACCACATACATGTTGTCTAAATAAGGATTTGAAAATGCTGTCTGTCTAGGTCCCTCAATACAAAATTCACTGTTGTGCTTTCTTTGCATTAATCGGCACAAATATTTAGACTCTGATACTGGAAATATTTAGAGAGATTGTGGAGTTTATGCACTACAAACTGCCCTACTTGACTGAAGTAATAAACATAAGAATGTTCACGATGAGGTACTAATTCTATACTCAGTTAAATATATTAAGTAAAATAACAACATAGAGCTGAATTAACTGGTACCAATTCTCTCTCCAATGAAATGTGTTAATATTTTAAACCAAAACTCCAATCATATAATCAATACTTAGTATAATAACCTGTTTGTCTTTTATGTAGTGAATTGTTATTGGTCATAAACAGCCATACAATCTTCTATAGACATTTTAAATTATAAGTAATTGACATGAAACCTGTTATTGTTTAATGAGTATGTGCCTCATAGTGGCATTCATCTGAAAGCTGTCCTATGTGATAATGCTGCCAAAAATAATTTATCAGTGCAACTATTTCCTGAGGGAGTAATCAAAAATAACAGATTGTTAGGGAGAAAAAAATGTAAGTAAAATGAAATAAAATGGCAGTTGCTAGAAGAGGAAATAATAAATTGCAGGCCAACAAAGAAAGACATGGTCTCATTGAATGCTTATTTCAGAGGCTTGCTTTGGTCTCTTGTGCCCTCTGGAAAGCGGAAAAATAAGTTGTGATTAGTTGCTAGATCCCTCTAGCAGACTGTTAAGAGGTGTCCATTATCATAGCTAACAACGAGGGGGCAACGTGCGGCTGTCCTATCCAGCTGCCTCTGGCCCCCCAGTCCTCGTTTCAGATCTCTCAGCCCCGTATAACCTGTGCTTTTTCACTGTCCAGTTATTTTGATCAGGCAGAGTTTGAGAACTTTGGATTTTTGCTGGGATCTCAGAAAAGCTAGGCAGAGCCACAGCTCTGAGCTGTCAGACATCCGAGATGGCCATTAGCATCATTCATTATTCATGCAGCAAATGTTACTGTGTTTGAGCAGTAGGTCTGATCATTGGCCAGAGGTAAAAGAAAAACAAAAGCAAATGACTTAGTGCATGGCTCAAGCTTAAATTCCGTCATTAAGACAGCACTGTCAAAGACTACTGAATGAACTGAAGAATAGATCTCTTCCGTCCCTCATCCCAGGAACTTCCCCTCCAACATTAGAAATAATGCCATGGGAAGGTGTCATTAAGCCAAGATGTTCCCCCCCCCCATAAATTAGGAAAGATTAGAACGGATTTGACTTATAATAGCCTTTGAATAATAGATTT